AATATTCTTCCGTGGTGCTTCTATTTCCAAAGTTATCCATGGATCTTAATTCAAAATTTTTCTAAAACTTGATCTTATGAATCCTACTTTGATATCATATAAAAGTTTGTGAGGGGTATTAAATCCTAAAGAACTATTCTCAAGGCTAACCAATAAGGGAGTGAATTGATTATTTAAAAATTTTCTTAACAAAAAATGAAAATCTTCTTGAAATATTTTTGAATATTTTAAAAATAATAATTTATGTAGAAGTAAAACTAATTTTACAATAATAAAGATCAAAGATTTTGACCACATAATAAATCACAAAATAGTATAGAAATTAAATGCAAAAAAATAAATAGAAAGAGCACACCAAGATTTATAGTGGTTTGATCAACTTTACCTGTATCCACTCTTTGGATACTCCCTCTCCAAGTATTGAACTAAACAGAAGTGGCTCTGGTCTCCTTTTGCTCCCACAGCAAGGCGGAGAAGCCCTTTCAAAATCTTTCCACCGACCCAATGAGACAGAGAACCTTGAATCCTTTTAGTACCTCCTCGAGTAGGAAGAGAACCTAAAAATTCTTTTACTACCTCCTAGAGTAGGCAGAAAATCTTAAATCCTTTTACTCCCTCCTGGAGTAGGTAGAGAACCTTAATCTAATGCTGATGAATATCTCCCTAGAGCCACCAAGAAACTAGATAAGCAACTTAAATAATATGATGACCTTGCTTGGAGCAACCTTTATGAATCCCTCACAACTCCCCCTCATAAGGATCTCTCTCTATCTCAAGCTCTCCCTCTTCCTTCTCTAAGCACTCTCTCATATTTCCTCCACAGCAAAAGATTATCTCAAGTGACGATTAGAGAGCTTAAATCAATAGCCTCCAAAAGAAGCCCTAATTTTTAATTATATGCTACTGATAGTCTAGTACGATCGATATATCATCCTGTATGATTAGTACAAAATAACCCTTTCAACTATGATGAATTGCATTGCCTTATATGATTAGTTCAAGAGAAATAGGCGGATCATCCTATATGATAAAATATCATCCTAGATGATTAGTATAACACTATTAAACTTTGTCTAGTATGATGCCCGACGTTGCCTTATCATCTTATGAACTTCTCTGTCATCTAGTATGATAGGGGTCTATCATCCTCGATGATTAGTTGAAAATCTATGGTATTCGTCTAGTATGATAGATGATGATCACTTATCATCCCATACCTATTCTTTGTCATTCAGGGTGATCTTCACCGATCATCCTATATGATCGTATCAAATTAAGTTTTAACAAAATTACAGGATTAATTTAGGCAAGATTGTCTTAAATTATCTAAGATGATCTACATTATCCTATACGATTAGCACAAAATTGGAAAATTAAAATATTGTATAAATTATGATTGTCAACTATTTTTCACAATATTAATTGATCGTGTTGGACGATAGGGATCATCCTGGACGATTAGTTTAATCACTCTTAATCAACTAGGATGCCCTAATTAGAATTTTTATTTTTAACAGATCGTCAAGTATTAATTTGAAATCATGTTGTATAACTAGGTCAAAAATAGAGAATTCTCCAACTCACCAAATTTCTCCCTCTAAGTGTGTGTGTGCAATATTAATTAGCTTGGGATCCACCAGATACATGACTTGACTCAAGGAAAATAAAAAGTATATTGAAATTTAAATTATAGATAGATTCAGTCCTAATCTATCCTATCTTGAGTTTTTTTGCATTGTAAGTAATATTGTGGAACTGAAAGGCTAGTAAACATGATAAATGAAAGTAGATGTGCAATAATAGTAGTGGTAAATAAATAATAATATTTTTTATCATTAAAATCATAGTACTTGGATCCAAATTTGCAACGCATGCCACTCTCAAAAAGTTATAAATATACCTCTCATTATTTCATCGAGGGAGGAAAAACGAGGTAAACAAGGGGGATAAAAGAAGAGAGGAAAGGAAGAGAAATCATAGTTCTCTTGCCACCAAACTCCTTGACCACCGCCCGACCACATACCGTCTACATACTTTCACCCATCTACTAATCATCATCAGACTTCCACCTAGCCACCAACTCATGCCGGATTTATGTCCTGCCACTAGTCATCGTTAGACGTATACTCGACCACCATCCATCACCTGACTATGGTCATTTTAACCTCTGTCGCCCTATGGTCCTTCCGAACTCCATCACCCGACCATAGTCATTCTTACCACAATCACAAGCCTATAGTCTTTCTAACCTCCATCACATGCCAACCATAGTCCATCAGACCTTCATTGCTAGATAATAATCTTTCCAACCTTCGTCGCTCACTGACTATGGTTCTTCGGACCTCCGTCGCCAAACTACATTATTTTCTAACCACCATCGCCCGCCGACTATGGTCCTTCCGACCTCCATCACTAAACTATGATATTTCTGACCTCCGTAGTTAGACTATGGTACTTCCATCCTTCATTACTAGATAATGGTCTTTCCAACTTTCGTTGTCTACCACCTATAATCCTTCTAACCTCAATCGCAATACAACGATCTTTTCAACCTTCGTTGCATGTTGATTGTAGTCCTTCCAGCCTTTATCGTGAGACTATAGTCTTTTCAACACCCATCACCCTCTGACTATGGTCATTCTGGCCCCGTCGCTATATAACGATCCTTCTGGCTTTGTCGCCTGATGACTGCAGTCCTTCCGACCTTCATTGTCAGACTACGATTTTTTAACCTCCGTCACTGGCAGACTACGGTCCTTCTAATCTTTGTCGCTAGATAAAGGATTTTTGACCTTTGTCACTCGTCGAATGCGATCCTTTCGACCTCCATCACCTGAAAAAATCTTTCTGACCTCCATCGCTAGACTATGGTCCTTTCAACCTTCTTCACCAGATAACGGTCTTCTCGACCTTCATCGCCTACTGACTATGATCCTTCGAAAATCCAAAACAAGACAATGATCTTTTCGATATTCGTTGCTTATCGACTATGGTCCATCCAACCCTACCTCCAGACTATGGTCTTTCTGACCTCCATCGCCGGCCGATTACGATCCTTCCAACCTGCGTCGCTTAATAATGGTTTTTCTGACCTTGGTCAATTGTCGATTATGATCCTTCCAACCACCATTGTCTAACAAAAGTCTTTCCGACATCTGTCGCTTGCCGACTACAATCCTTCATGCCACCGTCACCCGACTACGATCTTTTCGACCTCCATCACCTACCGATTATGGTCATGCCGACCAAATGAACATGTCAATACTAATCCTTCCAATTCCCACCATGTAATGCACTCTATATAATGTATATTTACTACATCAAATCAAGGCCTTCCCTCAAAGGATGGGCCTCATTTGTAATCAACTGCAAATACTTGTGGATTCATTCAAATTGGGCTTGGTCCCATGATTTTTTCCCTTTTCAAAAGCTTATATGTAGAAACTCTTGTATCTCTTATTAACGCTACACCACTCTCTTTTATATGATTATGTGCTGGATCTTCGTATAAAACTACGACGCTAAATTTTATATTTCTCTATCGCCGCAAATATTTCAAGACACAACAATTATTATTTACAATAATTGATTGAACTTTACCCTCAATTTACCCACCCAAAACAAAATTACCTTATACCGATAACTAACCTGTAAAGAACCCGTGCGCATCGTTTATTTGTGGTTAAATTCATTGCTTAAGCAGCTGCTATCAAAGCAGGTTGGGCGATACACTGACAAGAGGTTGAGTTGCTCATGGTCATTTACCCCGACGCACACCCACTTTAATGCATTAACAAATATTTGCAAACTGTTTTTTTTTTTGGGAAAACCCGGGGCAAAAGAGCCCATATATTAAGATAAAAAGATCAGATTACAAGTAACAAAAGTAAAGAAAAAGCAAAGAGCTAAAACTAAACAAAATTACAAAGACAATAGCAGAACTGGGAAATGAAAAAGGAAACAACATATAGACTCAGAATAAATGCACTGTCTCAATCATCAAAAATTCAGTGGCGAGAACTAAATGAAGCAGACGGTGGCACTGGTTGCCCACAAAATCTGAGTAAACGACAGAGTAACCCAGCAAAACTGGCCTTCACAATGCCTCCAGCCCGTCCAGAAAAGTCACAAAAGCGAGCCAAGTTGCCCCAAAGACCATCAATGGCTCGGAGAGACAGTCCATGCTCATCATCGTCCGTTGTGCACATAATCATCCCACAAATACTGCCAGAATCTTTGTAGTATACCCGAGATTTGCAAACTGTCAGATTCATCTTTTTAATCGTGAAGTAGTCAACAAAGCGACGGGTCTGCCTCCCCATGCAAGCTGTAGCCATCTCATCAAAACTGCACACAGCACCACCAAGACAAAAGATAGTCGCACCGACACGCTAATTCAATAATCATGAAAAACAAAAATCTTATGAAATATTAAAATATTTAAAATTGTATAAAATCAAAGAGGATGGTCCCACAGAGCAGCTGTATCCAGTAGAGCAGAGCGAATCTTCCGTCACCCATAAGATACAAAGAAAAACGACCTCTTTTACTCTTGTACTATGGGGAAAGAAGGTATTACAGGAAAAAAAATTCTGTCGATGGTTTGGTTAGGCTTCGTTCATAAATTAGAATGAGAAATTGGTTTGTCAAAATATAAATTTAATAAGAATTTTTTAACATTTTATCAATTAAACTAATTAATGCAAATTTTAAAAAGCAGTTCAAATTATATTTAAATAAATATTTTTAAAAAATATCAATATTTTTGCGCTACAAAAAAGGTATCTGCTTTTGTTTGCTGCATCTTGAGGATGCTAAAAATCAAGTAAAAATTATATTGAAAGGAACAATAAAGCTTGATCCCACTTAAATGTAACTAATTGTCGTGTCAAATGGAAAGAAAACAGAGAAAAATTATATGAATTGGGTGAGATTTTTCAATTTTATTTCATGTTTTTCACTCTCTATTTGCATTTGCGCTTAAATCATGGAACATCTACTCGTAAAAGACTTGTAAAATAAAATTTAACAAGAATGTAACAAAAATTAACATCACACAGTATCATTGGTGTTATGTGAAACAAGCACAAAAAAACTGCAGGTTTACTTAAGCGAGACAATCTTGAACTGATTCAGCTTTCTTCTCCAACTAAAACGCCAATTTAAAGCCACTGCTCTCTCACCAACTTTCTTTTGACATGGCTACACTGTTCAATGCCTTTGCATCGCTAAGAGAAGCAGACATGGCTAAAAATATAAGCATGGATGAACCGAAACAATTAATAACAGTAAGATCTACAACATTATCTCCATGTGAATATATATAACAGGCAGTAGCAGGGCTTGCCATTATTTCAAAGAATTCAATGCAGAGATGATCAACTGCAAAAGTCCATGAACAACATTGACCCCTCATAAATCACCCCTCTTCAAAACTAATAAAGAATCAAACACCTCAGCTGCCACCCAATCCTCCACTGAACAAACTACACAGGGTGAGTCTCATCTCCTGCTCCAGTTGACCGGATCAACGAGCAAGACTCGCCATTAAATGAAAAATAACAAAAATTGCAACACTCCCTTGTGTTTTTTATCTACAGCATAACAGATAAATTCATCTCTTTTTAAAGGGAGTGCACGAAACCCATCAGCTTGTATTGTACCTCAGCTTGATAGCCGACTATCAATGCTCAGTTGCAGTCCAATCCACACTCCTCCAGCACCGGCCCATCAGATTTTGGCAGAAACGGATCAATCCGAACCCATAAGAGCGAGAAGATCGAAGCAAGAAGAATTGACCACACAATAATGATGGTTGGAGTCCGATTTTGTCTCCCAACCAAACCTTTCAGGAAGGGATATAAGTGCACAATCACCCAAAATGCAAAGAAAAGCCTGCCAAAAAGAGGCCCCCAAGATTCATATCCATTGTTTATGGCATTGGAAACACCAGCAACCACGCCAATCATGTTAATCACGAGCAATGTCGTCGGAGGGATAAGTAGTGTGGTCCACTTGAAAGTATAGAGCTCCGAAAACTCCCCGTCATCACCTGCCTTTGATGTCACAGTAAAGTTTGTGTCTATGCCAGCCAGAACCTTAAGAAGACCCTGAAACACTGCAAATAAATGAGAAGAAACACCACCAATGACCCAGAACTGCTCATTTCTCCACCAGTCATCAATTCCAATGCCACTCCATCTCATCTCAAGGATGCTTGTTGCAAAAATGCTAATGAAAAGAGAGATAAACCACAAGCTGGCTACATTGCTCAGCTGCCAGAATAACATGAGAAATTTATTTTAGATGTAAGATTTACAAAACTGTGTGAATTTTCGAATGGTGATGTAAGTATCATACCTCAGGAGTGATAAATTTTCCAGTGAGCAAGCAAACAGCAGGCAAGGAACAATAAGCCAAAAGTGGAATTGATGTAAAAGGATAAACCGTGGCATTTATGTATGAAAATCGTTCGAGCCACTTCAGTCCACCACCATAACCATACCATAACGGACAATGCCTACTCAAGAAAATTTCTACAGAACCAAGAGCCCACCTAAGGACCTGGTGGAGACGATCGGATAGATTGAGAGGAGCAGAGCCTTTGAAAGCAGGCCTAGGAGGTATGCAATAGATTGAGCGCCAGCCATGACAGTGCATCTTAAATCCTGTCAAGATATCTTCTGTGACAGAACCGTAGATCCATCCAACCTACATGTATGGGGAAATTTTTTTTCATGAGGCAATGTAAGCCAGCAGCTCATGTTCTGCACAATAATCAGGTTTAAAACTCTTACCTCTTTTCCCCAGTCAGTTTTGTCCTCATATCCACAACTAATAACATGGATAGCTTCTTTTAAAAGTGAGGCAGGAGAAGCACTTTTAAGTGTTCCACCATTCTCCAATAGAGTAGAGGCAACAAATACAGGTGATTGGCCGAACTTCTTTTCTAACTTTTGTTCAGACAGAATGGCAGGTTTTTTACTATCAATCCCTGTTGGTGTTACTAGAATTGATTAAGTGGGAACCAGAAAATAAATATTTTACGAATAGTACACAAAAATATAACACCTTATGCAAAGTTCCAAACATATGCAGATAAAAGTTTTAGGATTCAAAGCACCTGTCATACTCTCAAAAGCAAGCAAGCAGCAAGTGTATACAGCAACATTGTTTAGCATATGGATGAAAAGGTTAAAATTTAAAATCATTGCATTTTTTTCTTGCATTAGGTGAAAGCCAGAATACACTATAATACAAATTAAGTTTAATGCACTAACGAATAAATGCCAATTCATTTGCGTACTCCTAAGGAGTTATCTATGCTTTGAACTGATAATGCAGCCATAAAAAGTAATAGGAAAAAAAAAAGAGTAAGAGAATAAGACGAAGTAACATCAAAAGCCAAAATTGATGGATTCACATAAGAAAAATAAAATAATTTTATAAAACTTTGTAGCAATTTAAAAGATAGTAAAGATACTAGAACAATATTGTTAAGTCATATTTTTAGTGTAGGAACCAGGAGTGCAAGTTTACCTTCAATTCCATCCTCTATACCCACCAAAGCTAATGCAGGTGCACCACTCTCTCCCCTCCTTGAAGTTTTCATTTTCTTTTCTTTCTTGGTTTTTGAATTCTTCTTCCTCTTGTTCCTCCCAAAGCAGCAACAGCAGCAGCACCACTTGGGCATGCAGTTGCAAGTTCTTGTGGGTGGTTTCTTTACTTTGGGAGCATCAAAACCATAAAATGCTTGCCTCCGGAAAACACATCCAGTTCCAACATAAATTGGTCCTTGAATACCATCAAGCCCCTTCATGTTGATCTATAACAAAACACTTAGGGTCAGTTTCTCATCGAAAGAATAGTGTCAGAACATTTTCAAAAAAAAAAAGATACACAAGCTTACATCAAAGAATACAATGTTCCGGTTAGCATAACGATCATGACGATCAATACCATCAAATCTCTGTGGAAATTGTACATAGCACACTCTCTTTCCAATCAGTGGATCCATCATAAAACACATTGCTTCCTTGATAGCCTTACTGTTGTTGAAGTAGTGGTCACAATCCAAATTCAACATATAGGGTGCATTTGTCAGTACAGCTGATACCCTAACCTGTTGCAATAACATCAATCAAGAATTTGTGTATAGCTAAATCAAAGGCATATCAGTATGTCAAAAAATAAGGTTCTAAAAGTATATATTCCTTACCAGAGCATTCATGGCACCGGCCTTTTTATGGTGATTGAACCCAGGCCTCTTCTCCCTGGAGACATAAACCAAGCGTGGTAGTTCATTTCCATCCATGTCATGTCCACCACTTTGGCCCAAAAAGACCTAAGAATTCAAAGGAGAGTAGAAAATTTAAATGGAAATGCAATAAAGAATGAAATTAAATGCCAATATAAAAAAAAAGGTCTCAATGTCAGGAAGTCAGACCTGAATCATTCCAGGATGATCTCGAACATTATTTCCAGGCCATAAAGTCCCATCCTGCATTGTCCACCCCTCCTCAGGAACCTTCTGAGCTTTGGCAACCAAAGCATTGATTCCTACTTTGAATTCTTCGTATTCTCTCTGCAGAATGTAACATATGTAAGTTTCATATTGAATAAAAGATATTTTTTCTTGGTCAATACAGAATCCTTGAAGGAAGAATCTTTCCATCACCTTCATTGCTCTTCTCTCTTTTACAAATGATGGTAGTACTTTATCTTTCAAATAGTCTATCTTTTGTTGGAAATACCATTCCGGTGCTCTTGGCTCAATGTTAAATTTCTTGCAGAATGGAACCCATTTTTTTGCAAATTCCGATGTTTCAGACATTGCTTCAAATGTAAGCATAGCGGCACCATCATCAGAAACATAACAAGAAACTTTGTCAACTGGGTAATCCACAGCAAGAATAGACAGGACTGTGTTTGCTGTGACCAACGGAGGTTCCTTCATAGGATCGACAGTACTGACAAATATGTCAATAGGGGATAGTTGAGAAGGTAGACCTTCTTTGTCATACCTGAAAAAGGAACAATATAAATTAGAATAGTTCAGTTGATGATACGATTACACGTAGAGAGGACTAAATAAGTTCTACAATGGATGGCTTAACTTGACCTTAATGACAATCTGTCAAGGTAAGTCTCCCTCTCAATTGGAATCCATTTCGGGAATTGATCAAGAATCCATGAAACAGCAAACCAGATTTCACAGATAACTGAGATAAGCCACAATGCATATGCATCAGGCACAGGATGTGTGACCCGGTAATGAAAGAAAAATCCAACAATAACTAGCCGAATTATGATAATCATTCTGTATGGATTAATTTGGCTAGAAGGTATGGGAAGCTTTCTTGATAGCGGCTGTCGGGCTTCATCCATTCTGTCAGAAGAAAAGGAGAAGTTTGAGGTAATTAACACAGAATAGGAGTATTTACGTCTTAAAGAAAATAACTATAACTCCTGAAGAAGCATCATGATAGGGAGTTAACAACGAAATATGCGATAGTTGTACTTAAATCTAACTCAAATTTCTCAAAGATACACTATCTTCTTTATCTTTTTGAAGCACAAAAAATATGAATTTAATTCACCATGGATATTTGAATCTTATGCTAGTTTAACGTCATGATTATTTTACTTTTGTTAGAGCTATTCTAGTCCGATCATAAGATCTTTTACAATGTAAGAATAGTGCAATTACAGGCAGTGCAGTTTTATGGCAAGAGAAAAATATGAAATGAATCACAGAAGTGATAAATAAAATTACCGCAACATATGTAGTACTATTCTTTGTGGCAAGGAACATGTTTGAGGCTTAAGTATCTTATTTACTATCTAAAAAGGTTGTTTTCCGAAGCCACTATTGCAATGAAGCAAACCATACTACAATTTGTTGCAAAAGCAACGAAGTTTCCCCCATAATGAAGCTCAAAATAATTCTAGTGATAGGTAATTCTTCTTACGTGAATCTAGTATAACAAATGGAAAGACCAGAAGAGAAAGTAGCACATTAGCATGTGTTATTAATTAAGATCAACATTTAAGCACAAGTAGGCTGAACTTTAAAAAAACAAAAAATTGTAGGGTCTTACAAAGGCAAGTCGGGCCCATCACCATCATTATCCCAATCCCTAACACCGTTTTCATTTATATGCATCTGCAACTTTTCTTGCTTCTGCTTCCAATTCTCCATTCTCTCCTTCCAAGCAATGCTTCCATAACCATAAGAAGCAAGGTCTTTTGAAGGATCCATGGATCTTGGTTGTACTGAAAGGAAAGAAGATAAAGCAAAACATCATCAACATAAGCAAGAAAAAAACTTTATTGCTAAAAAAATCAATTGAATGTGTAAACAAGAAAGCTTATTTTTCAGAAAATTCAACGATCCGATGCTACAGATCCATGTACCAGGAAAACTTGGATCTGAAAACGGCAGAGGGTGGATCCTCTTCCCTCCGCCCCCCATGAAGGAAGGAACAAGAGCATGCTGCTCTGGTGGGATATCATCAACCTGCGGTCAGCCAAAAGCATTAATTCTTAATAAGGACTGAAATATAGGATCACCAAAGACCATAAAGATTTTTTTTTTGTTCATGATAAAAGAAGACCATAATTGACATTCTCATTTCTAATGGTAAATACATCTATATTACAAAATGAAATTTCGGTAATTATATTACAGAATAGGCAAATGTCAAGCCCAAATACCATTTGGCCATTGGTGAGTAAAGGAACTTGAGGCATTGCGTGAAATATTTGAGGTGATTCCACATCTCCTCCTCGACCATAGCTCATGTGGCCCTGCATCATGAACTCAGCAAGATATTGCCCATCCCTCTTATCCCTTCCAACAAAATTGAACTCATTCTCAAGATCATCCACATCATCCTCTTCTTCATCTCCGGCCACTCGAGCACACCCTGCCCATTTATCACAAACAACGAAATTAGTAAGCTCGAAAAAGGCTACAAAAGGAAAAGCTCAAGAAGAAAAAAGATTACCCCTGAGACGCTTGAACCTGGTTTTGCATTGTGGACAGACTTGGCTTCCTTCTCTGCGTTCATACTCATAGCAGGTGCGGCAAATGGGGAAAGCACACTCATTGCAGGCGACGAAGAGCTCTCCATCGGCGGTGAGCCCAACTTCGTCGCCACAAATCTGACATATTTGACCACTGAGATGCTCTAATGGCTTCGGCTGCAAAAAAAACACAAATCTGGTCAACTGTGAAAGAGAACCGAAAAACCCACTATGAGCTGTGGGAGATGAAAACTTGATAACTTACTCCTGGTTCACCGTCGCGTCGGATAACGACAAGCTCGTTTCTATTGTGAGAACCAGCAACTAGACCAGCACTTGCCTCCATTTTCCGTTACCGGATCTAACCCAGCTCGAAAAATCCGCCTTCGAAAATTTCGAGAAGAAAAGTGATTCCTTTTTGGGTGATCAATGGCGGAAGTGGATCAAAGCTTAGAGTTCAACAATCGGAGAATGCGTAGAGCTTGGGTGGGGGAAGCACTTTGGGGATGAGAGGTAGCCCTTCCCTCCTTTCTTTCTCTCTCCCTTTCCTATTATTCCTTGCTTCCCACCACATCCAGCTTTCAAACAGCAAAAAAGAAAAGTAATGGGGAGACGGAAGTAAAAGAAGGAACCAAAGAAAAAATCTCTACTTTCAGTAAAAATAAATAAAAAAATCCAACCTCTAAAAGAAAATAGAAACTCATACACATAAAAAGGAGAAAAAACTAAGGCAATGTATTTAAAAAAGGGCCGGTAGGTGTGAGGTTTAGCTCAGAAAAATAAACAAATGCAATGGTTGAAGCATCTCTGAGAAGGAACAGCACAATCCTCTTTGGTCCCCCACCGTACTCACTTCCTCTCTTTCTCTCTCTCTCTCCTGCCTAGCTATCGCTGTAGAACACTTTTGCTCTGCATCTTACTCTCCACTCGTTTCTCATTATCAACATCTCCGCCGACACTGCTAATAGGCCAAATAAAGCATTCTTATAACGCTAAGCAACAGATGAGGCAGAGAATAATCACTTACATATTAAAAACTTGGAACTTGAGCTATGAGAGGAGAATTTTGATTTACTGAGAGGGAGAATGAGAATTCTAATGCAGGAAAAAAATAATTCAAAGGAATGTAAAACAAGCAAGCATGAAGAGGATATTGCAAGCAAAAAGCGTAGGGACGGTCAAAATAGAGCAGAGGCGGAGATCTGAAGTAATGCTTTCCAAAAAAAATAGTGGAAAAGAAAGTTATGCGATAATATAATAATTAAGAAAGTTAAAAATGGGGAGAGTAACGTATAGTGGCAATGGCAGTGGCAGCGAGTCTAGCGGCCCACGCGTTTAAAAGCTCATTTATTTCTATCGTAAGATTCATTTGAAGCTGCTTTTTACTACGTTTCATTTTTAAAATAAATTACATTTATGAAAAAGGAGGGGCAAAATCATCCTAGGGTCAAATTTATAAAAAATAATATATATATATATATATATATACATACATAATAAAATTTAAAATAAATATGTATTTTGCATTATAATTATTAAATAAAAAAGTATAAATTTTGTATTTTATTTTACATTTTCTAATAATGTTGCATTATAATTTATTTGAAATAAATTAAATAATTTTTTTCAATATATAAGTCAAAGTTCATGATCAACTGAGAGATTATTAATATTAATCTTTATACATTCTTTCTTTTTAAATAATGATCCATTTAGTATACTCTAGAAAAAAATTTAGGACCATAAAAAATGGCCCGTCAATAAAAAAATCATTTCATTATAATATTCTACAAAAAATAGGATCATCAAATGATAGAAGAAAAGTTGTTTGTTGCATCACTCAATAAATGGGCCACTAAAGAAGAAATTTAAGAAGCCAACCATCACTGTGAGCCCTAAAAATAAATAAGTAATGTGGATAGCGAACCAACATTGAAACTTAGGATGTAGAACGAACTCAAAAAAATAGAAAGAAACATAACATACTCGAAAGACGCTAAGGGAAGAAGAAGTGTGTTTTTTCTTTATAATTCTATATAATAATAATAATTTTATTTCAATCAAAATAGTAACATAATATGAGCAAGCTATATCAAATAAAACCTTACAACATTCTTTTGTTTCTTTTGAATGGAGGAGACAGTATTAGAAATTGGATTAGAAGTGCTCCATAAGATCATTAGAAATGCTTGTGATTGGCATTCATATAATTCTCTTTTGAATTGAAGAAGCTCATTAGAAATGTTTCATAAGATTAGATTTGTGGTATATTAGAAAAAAAAAGTTTATGTTTGATGCATCATCAAAAAAATTTCATGATCATGCCCGAATCTCAAGGCAAAATCAAGTTGAAAACTTCCAAAATTAAAATTGGGACCATCCGAACTCTGATTTCAGCAAACTTATAGCCAAATTGAGCGTCTCAGAATTACAAACCCAACAACACCAAAATCGACTCTATCCAAGTCCATATGGGTCGAAGTTAAGGACTTGAAGCGCTGTTAGAAGGTTCAAACAACAATTTAGATTATCTAACGGTTTCCAAACATGACATGCTCATAGTCTAATCGAGCGACTCGACGAGATGAATCCAACGAGCCCAAGGTCAGGGAATTACGACATCATTGAGATCTTCAAATAGCTAGCGAAAGGTCCACAATCAAAGGATTCAACATCGGTCATCCATCCAAATCACTCCCCATTTAACCTCGATCTTCCTTCTAATTATGGGCCATGCCACTCTAGAAAATCTATAAATATAGCCCTACTTTCTCATGAAAGGGGACCACAAGAGAGAGGGCAAGAGAGAGATCGGAGATCGCTCTTGCCTCCTCGCTCCTCCTCGACCACCGCTTAGAGTTCCACCGAACAATCACCTGACGCACGGAGTTCTGTCGGACCATCACCTAACGCCTAGAGTTCCACCAGACCACCACATTACGCACGAAATACCGCCAGACCACAATCTGATGCTTGGAGTTCCGCCGAACCACCACCTAACGCCCAGAGTTTCGCCGGACCACCACCTGACATCGGAGACCCGGCCGAACCACCACCTGACACCGGAGTCTCGGCCGGACCACCACCTGACCCCAGGAGTTTTGCCATACCATCATGTGATGCCTACAGTTTTGCTGGATCACCACCTGATGCCGGAGTACCCGCCAGACCACCACCTGAGCCTAGAGTTCCACCGAACCACCACCTGACGCACGGAGTTCCACCGGACCACCACTTGATGCTCATAGTTCCACCTGACCAGCACTTGACGCCAGAGTTCTTCGGACCACCACCTGATGCCCGGACTTCCATCAGACCACCACATTCTGCCAAACCATCGCATGATGCCGAACTTTTGCCGAACCACCGCCTTATAACAACGATCTTTCTACCCCTATCTCCTAACGACTACAGTCCTTCTAACCTTCGTCTCCTACTATTGTTCTTCCGACCTCCATTGCAAGACAACTATCTTTCTGATACTTATCTCCTGTAACCTACGATCCTTCTGACCTCCACCGCTAAATAACAGTCTTTTCTGGCAACTATTTACTGTTGGTTATGGTCCTTCCGGTCTCCGTCGCTTGTTACAGTCCTTTCGATGTCCACTGCCAAATAACGGTCTTTCTGAACCTTGTATCATATCGACTACGGTCTTTCTGACTTAAATTGCCTGTTGTGGTTATTCTGACCTCCACTGCCAGACAATGGTTGTTCTGACCCTTGTCTTCTACCAACTATGGTTATTTTAACCTTCGTTGCCTACTACAGTCCTTCCAACCTCCATTGTCAGATAACGGTCTCTGTATCCTACTTACTACGATCATTCTGACCTCCATCGCCTATTATGATTTTTTTTGACAATGTCTCCTGTCAACTATGGCCCTTTTGACCTTCGTTTCCTACTACGATCCTTTTGAACTCCATTACAAAATAATGATCTTTATGACCCTGATCTCCTATTGACTACGGTCTTTTTGACCTCCACCGCTAGACAACGGACTTTCTAACCCATATCTCCTTCCAACTACTGTCTTTCCGACCTCTGTCGCCTACTACGGTCCTTCTGACCTCCATCGCTAAATAATTCTTTCTGACCCCTATCTCATGTCGACTACGATCCTTCCAACCTCAACCACCAGACAACGATCTTCCTAAACTATGTTGCCCGCCAATTATGGTTCTATCGACTAAATGAATATTTCAATATTAATTCTACCAATATGATGTACATTTACAACATCAACCCAAGGATTTCCCCCTAAGGAAGAGCCTCATTTGTAATCGATTGCAAATAATAGTGGATACATTCACACTGGTCCAGGCCATATGGTTCTTTCCCCTTTTTAGGGGTTTCCTCGTAAAAAGTCTGGTGTCTCTTATGAACGCTACACCCTCTCTTTTATCTGTTTGTGTGTTGGATCTTAATACAAAGTTAAGATGTTAAATTTTATATTTTTCTACCATCGTGAATATTCTAGGACACAATAGTTTGGTACCATCTATGCGAAAATGATACCCGACTGGGGGCAACTTTTGTTCAAACCTCAAAAGGCCATTCATGTTAACTTCCTTACATTATCTATTATTGCATCAATTTCATGGGAATCAGATGCGGACAGGGGGCAACCTTGACACCAACTGTGGTGAAGAAAAATCCTCGAGGACATTCAAAATTAAGATGATATTTCAGGAAACTCCTAATGAATACAAGGATGCTTCTAATAATTTTCAATCCTTATATAGTTCCTAGTTGGACTTTTACTCATTATTTAGGGTCTTAATCTTAACATCAAAAAGGTAATAATTATCTAAATATAGGTCATTCTTCATCCTTGATTCGGGATACATGCAGAATTCACTCCCTCCCAATCAAGGCAAAATCAATCCCAAGGTGATTCAATTTGATCTCTTCTACACAAGTTAACATTATTGAGCAGCGCTTTGACATATGACCTCAGACAGTTCATACATCCCTAATGGATTCTCTCTGCTTATTTCACTCAAGTTAACATTATCGAGTAGTGCTCTGATATACAACCTCAGATTGGTCATACGTCATTGGTGGATTCTCCAACCTCTTCCACACAGGTTAATATCATTAAACAGTGCTCTGACATACAATCTTAGGTAATTCATATATCATCAATGAAATCTCTTGACCTCTTTCACATAGGCTAACATCATCGAGCAACGCTTTGACATAAAACCTCGGATAAGCATCCATCCTTGTGGATTTTCTCAACCTCTTCTATACAGGTTAATGTCATAGAGTAGTACTCTGACATACAATCTCAAATTGGTCAACATCCTCAATGTATTCTCTAGACCTCTTCCACAAAGGTTAATGTCATCAAGTAGTGCTTTGACATATAACCTCGGATATATCAAACATCCTTAGTGGATTCTCTAAATCTCTTCTATACTAGTTAACGTTATCAAGCAATGCTTTGACATATACCCTTCGATTGATTAAAAAACCTCGGTGAATTCCCTTGACCTCTTCCATAGAGGTCAATATCATCGAGCAATACTCTGAGTAGATAACATTCTCTCTATCCATGAAAGCAAGTGGTTGATGAAATCACCACTCATATGAAGGTCTTAACAGACTAAAAGTCTCAAAAAGCACCGGCGTAATATATCAAAGCATGTCATCTACCAACAAGTAATTTTAAAAGACTAGGGACAAGTCATCATCGGCTTCTCGCTCGACTACTACTAGAAGCACACCCTCAAACTATCTCCTTTAGCTTTCTATTCGACACTAGACTTCTGTTTATCATGGGACTTTAGTCGGACCTCTACCCGATAATGAATTTTCACCCATCACCAAACTTTTGCCCGTCGCTGAACTTTCATAAGACTTTTATCCAATGTTAACCTTTTACCCGTCATCATACTTTTGCCTGTCACCAAAATTTCATTTGAGTTCTACCCGATGTCAATTTTCACCGG